ATATATATATATATATCTATCTTTGTTTTTGTCATTGTATTTAATAGATTTTTTTTTCTTATATTTATGTTTTATACTTCCTTTTGTAAATGTTATTGAATGCACCATCATTCTGATGTGTTGCGATGATCCAAAAACCTATGGTATAATAAAGTTCAGTTACTTTACATTTATTCTCCCTGACGATTTGTTGTTTTTCCTTCCGCCGGGACTACCCCTGAATTTGTATTTAGGCACACTTTATTCAAAAATTGAATACACGGCCACATGGCAAAAACAAGTAAAACATAACTGGCACACAAACCAGAGTCACCATGAAAAAATCTTGAGGAACATGCAACGGAATTTAATCACTTTGCAGTTCAACTGTGTAGCGTGCCCGTCGAAAATGCCTCATTGAGAAACTTAATATTTTTCTTTGTTTTGTTGTTCTCCGATTCCTAACATCGTATGGCGTTCCTTGTGGGGAATGAGAGACCAACATTTATTGTATTGTTTTTCAGACAGTTTTTATCCTTTTTACTGTATACTGTAATTGTTTTCGGTTCAATGCAATGAAAACAAAAATGAAATAAATAGGAAACAGAAATAGCAAAAAAGTAATTAATACAAGGAGGTAATGTGAAATGATTAAGAGTAAACGTCAAACTACTTTTATCAATTAATATATATCTGTTGACATTCTTTAAAAGACCGTAAAATGCCACCACTTCACTACTAACCCCAACGAGCAACGAACCTCTGCTGTCCAATGAAATCGGAATACTGTATACGACGACGTATGCAAAATAGGCTTCAAATTGGACTTAGCCATCGTCATCTTTTGATTCGACGTTGAATTTTCATTTTCCCGCCAAAAGATTTTCTCTCTGTGCGGACCGATAAGTAAGCACTCACTGTGCTGTGATTGGTTGAAACCAAAATCGTATAGTGTAGCACTGTAGCAGGCGTAAGCGGAACGATTTAGGCTAAGTCAAAACTAGTCCTAGCCGGACCAATATTATCCAAGGAGGACTGATTTTGGCGGCTAAAATCGGTCCCGCGGACAAATTTTAGCGGCCAAAATCAGTCCCCCGGACTAATAATGGCGACCAAAATCGGTCCGGGGGACCGATTTTGGCCCGGACCAATTTTGGCGTGACAGGCCAACCACATAGGCCTAGGTACGTAATATGTTAGATCAGATATTAATTACATAAAATGTAGGCCAACAGTCGTATTTAATGGGGGCGGAGTGGATTTCGTTTTTTCGCGATTTACCATGGCTACTGTCGTCGTCACCTAGACTCGTAGACGCCGTTGTCCATATGGTAATAATGAAGATAACGTTCGTGTACCTATGACTGATGAGACTGTCATAGTTCATGATTAAAGTGTCTTTCATTTTCAATGGATTACATTCCATTCCAACCATGGAATTACCACTTGATGGATAGCCCAGTAATGGATAGACCTTGTGCCAGTTCAGTGCAACAAATAGTACAACTGGAAATAACATTACAGCAATTGCATTATATTTGCAAACATCTACACATCTTGAGAGGGCTCAACCGGTTGGGAGCAAAATAAAACGAACAAAGTAGACAACTTAGAAAAATTAGAAAAATTTAGAAAAATTCCATATGCATACAACTATTAGTAATAAATGCCAGGGGTTTATAGAAGCTGGCGGCCGGCGCATTCGATCGGCTACTACGATGTTTTCGCCGGCTTCTTCAATCAATGGGGTACAAAAAATAATACAAATCACATGTTAGCCAATAAGATACGAGAAATTTCTCCTCCACCACGTGCTCTGGTAATGACGACATACAATACATCGCCAAAACTTTTCTTCCGTACATTGGGCTTCTGGGTTTTTTTCCGCGAAGAAGAAAAAAACAGATCGTCATTTTAAAATTGATTTGTGTAAGACTATATGAACCTTTTATTTTTATACATGTATGGGTCATTCCGTGCCAACTCAACAAATTTTCAGAAAATCATGGCTGGGTACCGTCTCAGATTTTCTTGAAACTCGGATATAATGTGCACCAACATTTCTGACGAACAAACCCAAAATTTGACTTGCCAATTCCAAGTCGTTTAGAAGTTACGGCCATTTGAAATTTTAGGGTCATACCCCTTTTTAGCTATCAATTATGACATATTTGTAAAGTTGCATTTTCAATTAGCCATATCTTCAAATAGAATAAAGATAATTAACTGAAAATTGATATCTAGACTAACTTTTGGCTGTAGAACAGGAATATGACATGACTTTTGGTATACAGACCCCGTTACGAAAATATTGGTTCGTAAACACCCTAATTTATTTGGTTGCGTAATTTTTCTTCCATTTTTAGACCCCCATTAAAATACCCAAATCAGTTATTAAATGGGTCTTATGCAACAAATTATTAATATATAGTTGGAAATGTTTCACCACAAAAAATTCTGGATTTTTAACTTATCATTTTAGGGGGTAATCGTAGGTCAAAAGGTCATTCGGGACAAAAAATGCACAAAAATGCCTCGTTTTCATAATGACCTTTGACCCTGTGGGCAAGTACGCGTGTTGTTAAAACTTGCACCATTAATTAATTTACATATGATGATCA